AAGACTTCTCGTCAACTATAGTTGTTTTCCTTGAGAATCTATGAAAAGAGCGGGAATTTATTATTTATTTGTATATTAAAAATATATATTAAAAAAGAAAATATCGTTTTTTCATTTAAGCGCGCTCGATTTCATTTATAATTATTGCTATATACTCGATAATAATCTTTTTTTTTTGTTTTCTAATTTGAAGTTATTTTTCTCCACCATCGACTATTTGATGAATACGGTTGTTGCAGTCTATAATGGGGTGGGAAGAGGGGGAGGTATGCGTATGTAATGTTCTTTTTTGGTTGCTATGGTCTGTAAGGGGGAGGGGTATGTGTATGTAATGCTCTTTTTTGGTTGCTACTTACACTCACTATTCTCTTCGAAAATATACGTGAGTTCCACAAAATCCATTATGACAGATTTCAACTAAACTTTCGACGTAGAAATTATTTTTTCCTCCCATTTTAAACTGAAAGCAAATCATGTTCTTTCTAAATGGAAGTACAGAAGTCAGCAATTTTTATTATGGTATTACTTGCTAGTCGAATATATCATTATATTCTCGAATGCCTTTGGCTTTATTTATTTATGCTGATAGATCACACATCCGAGATGGGACCGGTTCGGTTAGGGATTTTTTCGGTTACGATCGGTTCAGTTAGAAATTTTAAAAAATTCGGTCAGTTACGTTCGGTTCCGTTAGAAAGAATCGACATAATCTTTTGATTTGAGTTCGATGGACTTTTTGAGACATAAGAAGAAAAAAGAGTGTAATCGTACAACAATTCGCTGTTGTTCGTAACTTGTATTATCTCACATGTTTTTTAAATTTGTTGTGAGAGGTAAGAAAGTTATAATACAGTAAGAGGATTCAATAAATAATCTTTCTTCGTTACTTTCTCTAGATGTTGATTGCTCATAGTTGCTACTGTTCGATTTGTTGTTGCTAATTTATAAAGCACTAATACCCTAATTAACATAAGCTAAATTTCGTTTTCTCTAAACTCGGTTCGATTACGAAATTTTTGAAATTCGGTCGGTTACGGTCGGTTCGGTTAGAAATTTTTAAATATTCGGTCGGTTACATTCGGTTCGGTTAGAGATTTTTTCGGTTACGGTCGGTTCGGTTTGGCAAAAATGCCAACCGATCCCACCTCTGTCACACATGCATGCATATTTTTAAACGATTTCATTTCTTCAGCCCGCCAGACTCTCTGTGAAAGAGACTCAGGACGTTCAGCCGTCAGTTCTCTAATGGAACATGGGTGGCGTATCGTTACAAATACTATTTGTAGAGAAAGGCTAGAACATTTGCAAAACTAATATTCCACTTCACTTTGGAATTATAGGTGACTTCCCTTCGCTTCTTGAAAGAGCTTTACTATGATTTCGATCATTGTTGAAAGCATCCTGAATACGACACCAACATGAAACTTTAGCTAAGAACATTCGAACCACGTCTTGCATAAAAATCAAATTTCTCCAAAAGGAATTACGAGCAAAATAGATATAGACAACGTTACGATTTCTATTGTGCATGTTAGTATGTGATCAGTTTACAGATGAAAAGTGATTTGATATTATTCATGCATAATTCGAATATGTCATTATGTGTTGGAAAAAAATTCGAATGAATGATGAGTTCATTTGATGAACGGAAATTATTTGAAAATACGAATATGTATATTAAAGAGTTTTACTTCAGATCAACAAAAAAACAAACAGTTCAATACTATGCAAAATTTGGGGTATATGAATTGATAAAAGACTTTTGTATAAGAATGTTTTTCTGAAATTCCAAACATGACCTATGACAATGTCGTCTCGTCAATTAATGAACAAATAAAATTACTGAAAAGTGCAAAGGCATGATACTCCAGTAGGACACTTCGAAAAAACTTGAGACAACGTTGTAAGAGAACAAATCGGTTGTGGCACTTCGTAGATCATATTGTAACCACTTTCTATTACATTTCAATTTCTTATAACTGAAATAGAATACTTTGAACTACGATTACTCGACTCCTGACCCAAAAAAAAAGATATTTTTTCAATTGATAATTGTCATTGAGCTACTATCTGCTTTTTCTAGGAGTTTTTCCCATTGTTATCGATTAAAACGCATACTAACCCGAGTAATCTTCCAATATGGGCCTCAACTAGAATAGGATCTGCATCCAATGCTAGCTGGAAGGCTTCTTGTGCCGAATCATACATGAATGAATGCAAGCATAAGTAACCAATAACAAAGTGATTGTGAGCAAGTGAAGATGAATTAACTACCAAGCCCAAAGGTCGTTCCACCGCACCCAATTGTAGATAGGCCTCCCAAGGGAGTATTTCTGTTACATTACTCAGGCCGACCGAAAAAAGCATTAGGAAGAGATAAAACCGTGTTAGTAACATGCTTTTTTGACGTGGCAAATGGTACGTGGTTATGTGCAATACGCAGGCAATTTTTCACTCCATTTATATTCGCCAATTCAGCACAACAAAACTTATTTCGATAGGAGGCAGAATGAAAAATGTTATTTCAGATATAAGGTTTGTCATAAATCGAAAAACATTTTACTCTGGCTTCCTTGAAAAATGATGAAGATAAAATATGGCATTGTAAAAGAAAGAAATCTCATTACCAAAGGTAAATGCAATTAAACATTAAAGGTTAATAAAAACACGAAAATTTGCTGATACATATATTTTCTTTTCTCGAAAACAAGTCTATCAAGTCAGCAATAAGGACAGTAAACATAATCATAAATACAAACGTATGCAAACAAAATGCTATTTGCAAAAGAAAAATCGAAATAAAGCTGAGAGGCATAAATACTTATTACATAAAAAATTAACTTTTCAAAAATTGACTCAGTGTATGTTACCTATTTCCTCGCAACGATTAAGGTTGCCTTAGCAATAATATACGAGAAAGATAAATATATATTATTCATAACAATAGAAAAAATTTAAATGTAGAAAGAAATTTTATTTTAGTTTATAATATGAAAGCTAATACGAAAAAAAGCCGGAATTTTCAATCCTAGTTGTACCATCAAGTTTTGATGTATTGGTTGATAATAAAAGAAAAAATAATTTAATTTAAAACAGATCAAGTTAATTCGTATATCAAGATAAGACTACTTAAATATCCTCGAAAAGGTAAATGAATAATTCTTTCGTCTCTAAAATTTAATTCTATGCGATTAAATTGTTCGACATACAAGTGGCTTTATATTTGTTTTGTCGATCATACAAGAATATGAATGATCTTAAAAAATAATATTTTAGTTTTATTATTGTTGATATCTAGCTGAAAGTAAAACAGAATTGAAAAGATATAATTGATCGTTATATTATATTCTAAAATAACTATGACAGTATACATATAAATAACCATCTTGCTTTTTTGTATTTCATTAGCCCTTGGAGTACCATGCATGGACAATTTTGTCCATATGAGTAAAAAATTATCATTTTTTTTTGGCTAAAAGGTCAATTAATTGATATCGACTTCTTAGAGTGAAGTGTGTATTCAGAATTCTGATATGTCAGATTAACTAACATATAAATAATAAATTCGAACAATGTTTAATTTTGACGATTTATAATTATGGACAAAAATGTCCTTGCATGGTATTCTACGGAAGTTTTTTCGCACGGTACTCCAATGGTTAGTATTTAATTATAAAACCTATTCAATCAAATATCCCTTAATGGTGGGTGTGGGTGTGGGTGGGTGGTGTGGGTGTGGGGTGTGAGTGGTGGGTGTGGGTGGGGTGTGGGGTGTGGGTGTGGGTTTTTCTTAAGATCGGCTCTTCCAGCCACAGCCACAGCCACAGCCACAACCCACCCACACCCACACACCCGACCCACACCCACACCCACACCCACACACCCGACCCACACCCACACCCACACCCACATATTATCAATTACATCCATCAAATAATGATTCAAAACCAAATACAAAAATCTGTGTCGAATTGCCGCATCAAATTTTGAAACAGTTACTATTAGTGTGTAACCAAAACCAATTTAAAAAAAACTTCAGACAGTCAAATATTTGAATAAAGATCATTTGCTATTGGGAAAATGTTTGTAAAAGATAAAAAGATACAATAATCAATAATAAATATTTCTCTTTTGCTTTTAGTCAGTTATTGAATCAAGTAAACAAACTATAGAAATTAAAAAAATGAAGGTGAAAATATAGATCAATCTTAAATAAAAAATACAAAGAAAAAAATCAAGTAATCTTTTTCGTACAATGTTTAATCGATTTCGACATCGTCAATGTACTACTGAATCTTTGAAAGAATCTTTTACACAACCTCCTTCGTCTTCTATTAAAAATAACATCTCCATTTAAACTTCTTCATCGAACAAATATTATTATTGATACAAATATTGAAGAAACACTAAAAACAGAAACTACACACAAACGACAATACCTGTTACACCTGTTTGTCGATTTAACAATCTTTTAGAACAATATACACATACTAATCAACATATAAGACAATGTAAACAACGACAATTAGAATTAGATTGATTTATAGAAAATTTATTATAGCATTAATGTTGAAAGTGGATGAAAATATCAACCAAATATCACTATATTGGATACATATACAACAATTACCATTAGATCGGTGTTAATCAAAAAAACTGTGGGCATGAATCATATACACTTACTCACATCTACATACACCCTATACGCGCACACTCACCCACACTCGAATTGGAAGGTTAGTGAAATGTTTTGGTAGAATCAAAATCGTCATATGAAGTGAAACTTTTTTATTACAATAGGCGAAATATGTGAAAATATTAAAAAAAACGATATTTTCAAGTATTAAATCGAATTCTCAACTGTATGGCAATCTAAAAAAGACAACAATAGAATTTATTCACTGTTATTTGAACGTAATAGTTTTTCAAACTAGTGTTTAACTGCAATGTTACATGACCTATGAAAATAATATTATCGTTTGCTAATTTCTTTAAAATAGTTAATACAATTCTGAATTATTCAGAGCCATACCCAATGGTCCGCTACCACCACCAGTGACTAATACATTTCCATTTGTTAATACAGATGCTCTATGCGAACTTCGATTATTTTTCATGTTGCCAGTCTTTGTCCAAGTTCCTGTTAATGGATCATACAACTCAGCACTATTCAGATAACTACCATCATCCCATCCACCAGCAACTAACACTTTTCCATTTTTTAATACAGATGCTGTTTGTGCATATCGCGCATTATTCATACTACCAGTCGTTGTCCAAATTCCTGTTGATGGATCATATAACTCGACACTATCTATAGAGGAAGTAAAATTATATCCACCAGTAACTAACACTTTTCCATTGTTTAATACAGATGCTGTGTGATAATACCGTGCGGTATTCATACGACCAGTTGTTGTCCAAATTCCTGTTGATGGATCATATAACTCGGCACTATTCAGATAACTACCATCACCCCATCCACCAGTAACTAATACTTGTCCATTTGCTAATATTGAGGCGATGTGCCAATATCGTCCATTATTCATACTACCAGTCGTTGTCCAAGTTTCTGTTGAGGGATCATATAACTCAGCACGATTTGTGGAAGAAATAACGTTATATCCACCACTAACTAATATTTGTCCATTTGCTAATATTGATGCTGTATGCCAATATCGATCATTATTCATATTGCTAGTCGTAGCCCAAGTTCCTACTGATGGATTATATAACTCAGCACTATTTAACGAAGAACTGTGATTAAATCCACCGGCAACTAGTAGTATTCCATTTCTCAATACAGATGCTGTGTGATCATATCGTGCAGCATTCATACTACCAGTTGTTGTCCAAGTTTCTGTGGATGCATCATATAATTCAGCGCTATTGATAGCAGAAATACCATCCCATCCACCACTAACTAACACTTTTCCATTTGCTAATACGGATGCCGTGTGGTCATATCGCGCAGTATTCATGCTACCAGTGTTAAGCCACCCTAGAGAAGAACTATTTGAATATATTCAGACTGAAAGCTGGATTATTGTTGAACGCACAAGATTGTCCATTAGTAGACACAATGTTTTAAAATATTGTAAAATGAAAATTGTTCCTTAGTTTTAAAGCAAAAGCTTTTTAACTACTCCATGAACTAAAAGAAGGATTTAACTTTGTTGCGCGGAATTTTTTATCTTGTGATTAAGAGAAATATGAACAGGAGATTTGTAATGCGCCTGAGAAACGAGACGAGGCCGCCTCAATCCTCGTCAAATAAGAGGCACGGGCTGGTGGCCTCGAGCTCATTAAAGAGTAATCTTCGTTCATTTTTTTCAGAAGTGTATTTCATTATTATTTCTGAATAAATAGTTCCTCTTTTATTAACATTTACGCATGAATAGATGTGATCAATATAGATATACAAAAACTTAGCAAATCCTAAAATAAATTTGAATTTAACATAAGTTGACAACAAGATGTAACTCATACGTATCAACAGCAACATAATATTAGTAGAACCATAAACATATATCTATTTACTAAATTTAACTCGATACGCATAGACTGCTATGACACCAATTTCGTCTTAACTATTTCTACGATTGAATTTAGATAAATTCGAGTTTAAGATATTTTTCTTGATATAATTTATTTATCAATACATTCACACAATAAGTATAGATTAAAGAAGGAGATATAAGATAGTGATAAGAAAAGGGGCTGAAATTCTACCCAAGCAGAATAATAAACTATACTATAGAAACAAAACGTCGAAGTGAACAATTTATCTAATACGTGCAACGAAAGAAATAGCAAAAGAAAATATATATATATATGTCGGGTGAACCAAAATGATTACAACATCGAGTATTTTACAAGTATCTCAACAAAGATAAATCGTATAATCTTGATTCTTTTTGTTAAAAGATGCACCATGAAATTCTCTACAAGAAAGGTAATGAGAAGTCCCACTGAGTTAGTTTAATATTTTTTTATACGGCAAAAAATTAAGTACTGTGTGATATATACCTTAAAATTGATTCTTTTTTTTAATATGCATCATGAAATTCCTGCTGTTTTTACAGTAAAAGGCCCTTTGAATTGTATTGATGAGTTGTTTTAGACAACAAAAAGTAAAGACCTTCGTGAGAACGTTCTTGCCCTTTATGAAAATAAGAAAAAGCTTTAAAAATATCTAGTAATGAGTCGTTTGGTTTATAGCATGATGCCGTCTTTTAGATCTGCATACTTGAAATTTGTAAATATTTTCATATTTTTATTATGGGCAAGAACGATCTCACGAAGATCTTTACTTTTTTTTTTTCAAAAAGCCTTTTCATGTAAAACCAGCAAGGATTCTATGATGTATAGAAGAGAAACAATTCAAGGTTTTATAATTTGCTGATAATGACATACATGCAAAGTAATAAATGCTATTTTCATTTAGAGAAATCAGACGTTTCATCATCAAGCCTCATGAAACATCTTTTAAAAAAAGAATCAAAAGTACACGATTTGTCTATGCTTAAATATTTTCAAAGTACTTGATTTTGCAATCATTTACGTTCATCCGGTGGATGCGTAGCCCAGAACAGGTATAAAAAAATCACATTACTTTTTTTTCGTCAGGAGTACTCTCATGTCATCAACATCGCGTCACTTTCCATGATTAATCGGAATATTTGAAAAAATCGACGATTAATTGATGATTTTTCTAAAAATATTTTTACTAAGACTATCTGATCGTCAGCTTAGATTGAACAATGAGCATTCGTATTTTACACATTTGCTTGCAGTAGTGTCAACCTACCGAAGTTTCACCAGCAATTTCTGATGCAGATTTAAAATTGACTCAGTAGTGTCAGTTTTAACAGACTTCAAAAATATTTACTTGTTTTGATACATATATCATGAAACAATGGTGAAAAAATCTTTTCCTATAGCGCATATGATAATTGTAGTCTCCTAATATTTTTTGTCTGGTCTACAGCAAATGGGTTATCTCAGTTAGAAAAAACTTCTTTTATTTAGATCATTTGATCATTAGACAGAACAGTTGTCATTGTTCTACTTGTAAAATAGATTCTTCTATTTAGGTCATCTGATAGAGTCAACGAAAAGTAAGGAATATTTTATTTTAGTTTTTTTTCTTCTATTTAGATACTTTGATCTTCCCGACGAACAGTATGTATTACTTTGTCAGAAACAAATTTGTTTTTGTTTTTATTAGGTCATTTGATTTTCTTAATTAAAAGTAAGTATCATTTAGAAAATTCTTTTATGGCTTACTGTGAATGGCGAACATATATCATAAATTGTCATTTACAAAAAATATGCGCAAATACTTTAGAAAACGTCATCGTAGAATAGGCGTTGGAACGTATTTGTAGATCTAAATGCTACCCCCAGATCAGACAATCGAAAACCCTTGTAAACAATCTCCATTTTCTTTACTAGTCGACGAAAGAAATCGCCTAATCTAACGATCTTTGATGAAAATCGCTAGATTAGGCGATTTAATCACAATATAATCTCATAGTTAATTGACCTAATAAATTGCAATAAAATCGATGATTTTCATGTGATTTTTATGACATGGGCTAAGTCAATGTTCCATTATTTATCATCTTTGACTTAACACAAATATAACACATATGTTGGTGCACGAGATAAGACTTGGCTGCTATTCTTTTTTTTCAAGCTTCAAGAACTCTTAACTACTTACACAGTCAAACTGTGATCGCCCGGACGCTATAGCGGAAGGGAGACGGGCGCTAAGCAGCCGAATACGCTCCTGCGTGCACGATACACATCACTGCCTTCTATATGATTTTTTATAATGCCTACGAACTTATGTGGAAAGGGTGTGGGTGTAGGCTAAGAGAAGGCTCACATGCACACCCCTATCTTTTCAAAGAAAGAAACTAATATCGTTAACATACTTCAATTTCTCTCAAGTTTTTTTTACTGAAATATATAGAGATTGGACATAATTGGACCGCCTCAAATTAGAAACATGAATCTATCTAATGTAAAAAATGCCATTATTCATTGAAAGAACTTTGATTTCATCTGACATTTTGAATTATAAACATATAACATCGTTCAACAGGAAAAATGTCTCGAAAAAAAAAGGTTCGTCAAGTCTTGCTACAATCATATATAAACAACTGATTGTATAACAAAAATTCATGTGAGTTGCCTATTTTACTTTTACTGAGAATTTTATTGATAATTCCTGATTCAAGAAAGAAAAATAAGACCTAAAACAATTACACAATCGAGCACTTTTGTTTTAATCGGTTTACAATATTATATTAGTCTCTAATTTTCTTATTACTTGTAAAATTTCAATTTGTTGTTATTTTCCATCTTATTTTCTTTTCATTCTCATCTTGAAATTGGTCTTTCGCATTTATATTTATCTATCGTTCATGTTATTGTCACTATATGATAAGATTCGTTGAATCGTGAATTCGTAAAACCTAATTAAGCTTTAACTACAATTCAGTCAGGATACTTTACTTGTTCTCTATACACTCACAAATTCCAGTAACATGTGTTTTTACCTGATTTACAGAAATTCATTAATAACAATGGTAAACATACTGTTTGTTGTGAACAGCAAGAGTTAACAATGCATAAAGAATTATTTGATGTGCAATTATACGTAGCATTATTACATGGTTCCAAAATAGAACATAGGATACCAGGTGCACAATAACTAATATTGTTTAGTGTACGGTATTCGAAGCATGCTGTTGATGACGAGCGACAGTTGTTGTTATCATTGGAGCTTAGGTTACATTGTCGTAAAGAACAACTTAATGCTGGTTCCCATGCTGAATGAGGCAATGAAGATAGTGACAATTGAACATCGTAATTATTTTCATAACAGTGGTAATTGGATACTGCTGTACTTTGACCTAAATTTTTTTTACACTATGAAAAAATTGAAGTGAGAAAGGATAAATCAGCACACCTTGCACGCACGAAAAGAAGAGTCCCAATACCAAAGCTATTATAAATTGCATAGTTTTTGTGTAATAAATGAGTGAAAGAAGTATTCAGAATGAATAATTTTTTTCTGTTCTCTCCTATACCACCGACTGAATTTGTCTTTTAACTTGAAGGGCACCAACCTATTTTATTCCAATGTTTATTCATTCTGTAGCAATAAAAGAAGCCTGACATTTAAAAAACATTAATAAACATTTTTATGTAGTTTATTCACTGTCAAAAAACGACGAATCTTGTTGTTACTTTTTTTTCGTCTTTTGATTTAACACTTTCGATGCGATTTAATCTGATAGATGGGTGATGTGACTTACTAATGGATCACATCGCTGTGAATATGTTTAAAACTGTCTGGCGCCACCGTTCGATAACCTGCAGTGTGAAGTGCATCTCGTATAAAAATCAGTTGCTTAGATCCATGTATCGAATTTTAACAATTTTTCTCGTCAAAATTGACCGTTTTTTTTTGTGATTATTGTTACATGAATTCTTTTTCAACATATATCATCTGCTAGAAAAAAAGAATGCACTACACGGTGGAGCACTTTTCATCGTAAAAACACCTTGGAAAAGGCTTGAGTTTTAGAATGAGCGCGTGTATTAATGTAGATCTTTAGTAAACCTCGTTTTTCTCTACCATCAAAATATCGAAATTAACATTTAAAAATATTATTGGAAAGAGCGTTTAAAGCTGCACAATATAGACTAATAGATTAGTGTTTAGAAACAATATGTTACATGGAAAGCACATTAGTCCCAAGGATTGATCGTGATAAGGCTTAGCGGTGGATCTTATCACAGCGAAAGTGTATATGATTCATATTTATTGACTTCCTTAAACAAACCAAAAACATGACATTTTTGTTCTATCAAACTATTCTCTGCCTTCAATATAATGAGATTGATTTTTTTGACATAGCAAACGAAAAACTTCTCTGAAGTAGAATTTTTTTGACTTCTTGATTGGGTTTGGGTGTGAGAAAAGATTGAACGAAAAAACGAGGACCCATATCCATCCACACACTCAACATTAAAACATGAAAATTTTAAGTATGTTGATAGAATCAATTCGATGTTTTCAAATCGGTAATGATCTTATTCAAAATAATCCAAATGTATTATTATTAGTTGATCCTATAATAAAATGTCTTTGTTCTTCAACTTATATTAATATATTAAAACAAATCGATATTAAATCAAATGATCCTAATGCATTTGAAGATTTTATATTTGGCACATGTCCATGTTATTGTGCATGAAATAGAGGAAAAGCTCAAATAATAATAAATAGATTATGTTTAAATAATATGTTAGAAACTTATCAAGAAATATATGATTTATTTTTACCAACAATAAATGATTGAGCATATGCTTTAATAGAATCAATTTACTATATGACACAATTATTACGTTATGTTGTTTTTTATTCTTCAACATAAGAATATTTAAATATTGATTCAATGTTAATTATATTAAATTCAAATTATTTATTAGATAATATATTAATAACAACATATTACAGTTCTGAAACAAATTTAACTAATTCAGCTATTTAATTTATATTTAATTTAACACATGATTTTGAAATGTGAACAATAATTAAAGAAAATTCTTTTTTTTTTTCAAAAGAAATATTTCTTCCATTAAAAAATTCCCAAGTTGATCGAGTTAAATTACACGCTTTAATGATTTTATCTAAAATACTTAATAAAAAAGATATTCTAAATCTACGTAGATCATATTGATACAATAACATCAATTTTTATTTTTTATTTATCTAGAGCTATGAATAATTTATGTCACAGATTTCTAGATATTCCTATTGCACATTTATTAGCTACTTTAAAAGGTATATTGTCCTTCACAGGTAACATCAATAAATTAACAATCACTTTTCACTGATTTATAAACGAAATTCATAAGGTCTTTTTTTTATTAATGCAACTATGATTCATAGGGAAGTTTCATAAAAAATAAAATAGCTGACTGAAACAAGTTATATTTTTTTTTCAAAATCAACAAATTTAAAAGTAATCTTCGATGAATCTCTGTTTGTATGACTTTTGAATTCGTTTTGAAAACTTTCAAATTAGATTTATAGAGAAAACATCATACCATAAAAGAAAATTTTCCAAAACCTACTTGAATCCGACAAAATTTCAATAAATTAATCTAATAATATTAAACAGGTTATTTAATTTTAAATTAGATATGAATATGATCGGTAAAGATGTCTAGTAGATGTTCAAATTTCAGTATTCCTCAATTGAATCCTATCAATGTTTGCTTAATAATTATTCAATCTAATAGAATTTTATATATTTAGCATTTATTCAATACGATGAAATCAAAAAAAGAAATAGTAAGACAAAATTATTTTAGTATATTAATAAAATGTGTAACTCAAAAAGATCTTCATATTAGTTTAGTTTTATAAATTTCATTAGAAATTGTTTGTTCATTAACATTTAATAAACATATTTATGATATATTAATACATAATTATGAAAATTTTTTTATTTATTTAAAAAATATTCTTATTCATTCAAAAGAAGAAGGTGTTCAAGCAGCTTCTAAAGGAATTTTATCTTAAAAAGACTATTATGGATGTACATGGTAATAACAGTTGTAATAAAAATATGATATTATAATAAGTTATAGTCATCCAAACAAAGATTTATGTCATCGGATTTATCAAAATTTAATTGATTTTGAATATCTGTACGGAAGTACACTTCAATCAATATGGTACAAGCTATTGAAGCATCCAATATTATTCTTATTTGTATGTCAACGTCATATTATTCCATCAATTGTGGAAAAGAAGAAATATCGACTTGGTGAATGGTTAGGATTTATTTTTTTATCGACAACAAACTTTATTAATTTCGTCATCATTATAAATATTGAAATATGAAAAGAACAAACCACTTACTCATGACGATGGAACTAAACTAACAATTGAGATGTACGAAAACAATATCATGCAGAACTCTCAAGTTGAAGAATAAGTATGAATTTTACTCTAGATCGATAATAATGTATTAAAAAATTAAGCTCACTCATATGATAGAGTTTTCAGCCTTATGTCATGATATTTGAGGAAAATAATCAATAAACAGAGGTCACAAATAGTTCATCTGACAACTCGAAATTCTCTGTGACATCTCATTCTATAGATTTAGTTCTCTTTTTTATTTGAAAGACTATATCAGACTGCAATGACTGACACAGCCCTTCTTTGTCAATTGTTACTTTTCATGCAGAGAATAATTATGCAATGCATTTGTATAGTCTTTCAAATAAAAACACTTGGTTATAATGAAGCTCCTTCGAGAATTCTGAAATACATAATCTGAAAAACATATTAGAAAAACTTCTCAGTGCAGCATCAAAAGTATACTATGATATTTTCTATTTTTGAAAACAATATTTACACTAGTTAGAATCTTCAGTGGGAATCTTAAATTCATTGAATACTCTGGGAAATTTTAGACAATTTCAACATGATCCAAGAGAACCGAAATGTTGAATAAGAGCAAAGGAAAAAAAAAACTATAAGATACATTTTTATTGTAAACATTCAAAATTATGAAGTATTCAGAAGAAGAATACGATATCTTCGATTAAAAGATATGTACATATTTAAGAGGACCATGTTTCGAATGATGAAAACAATGATGATTGTCGATATGTGGAATGATGGACGCATGAAGTTATTTTAAATTTTCTCATAAGAAGAATTTAGAACTTATGAGGCCTTTATTTGAAAATGAACAGTAATTCGATGGTCATTCTTTAATTACATTATATGAATATGTTGCTTATATTCATTTTCTCACTGAACTACGGAAACATTTGGATCCAATTGATATAAAATATTGTATACGTTATTTTCTTGCGATTACTTGGCAAAAAAAATACATGAATAACTCTTTTCGTATTTTAAATACTTTACCTTTTATACATAAATATAATCCATTATGTCGCACTGTATTTATCAATATTGAATAATTAGTTTGTATGATAACAGTGGTTAGTCGAACGAAGTCATAAGCGTAGTTATTTCATCCTAAATATTTCTCTAATCAAGAAACCAAAGACATTCATCCGATAATGAGATGTATATCTTATCGAGTTTTCAGATGAACGTGATAATAAGTGTAAAAACATATTCTTTGAATTATTACTGAATCAAACAATTTCATCAATCCCATTAGTCATCTTTCTGATAGGTCTTCAATTAATCAAATGAGTAGTTCTAAAAAAAGAAAATAACATTGCTTGCTATGTGTTGATTAAGACATTATAATATGAATCTGCAGTAGAGACTTTCTAGGATAATCCTGTTTGCCTAGGTCAAAGTGATCGGCCGACTCCAGTTGGTTACAATCAGATCTAGACAAATGCGGCCATCGAATTCCTAATTCCACTTTTCTACTATTTCCTCTTATTTTCTGCCTCGAAACAGCGCCTTTATGGTGAGAGCCTGCCGAATTCATCGATCCGAGTGAGGAGATGATGTTTGAGACCTGTGTGCTAATCTTGAAAATAGGTTCTTGTATTTAAAAATATACTGACAACATATATGATGATGTAAAACATGTTTGTTGATAATTAAATCAAGTCAAAAAGTTTTTGAATCTGAACACGATCATTATTTTTAAGATTGTTTGATAATTTTATGTTAATACTATCGCACAATTGCTATGAAAACATTTGGCTGATATAAAGTGTTACTTTTTCATCTTCACTAACCAAGTACAAGTAACATTCGCCGATATCACTTGGCAAACTCAATATT